CCCCCCCCCCCCCCCCCCCCCCCCCCCCCCCCCCCCCCCCCCCCAGCCTTCTCGTCTTCACGTACGTACTCGTCCCACAGCTCCAGCACTACCTCGTCAACGCCTCCCCTACGCCTGCAAACCCCACACCTGCTGCTGCTGCTGCTGCTGTTGCGAGCCTTAATGTGGTCGTCCAATGATCTGTACCACTCCGCTTCGCAGTCCGCGGAGCCCCCTTCGCCGGTAGCGGCCTCGGCGGAGCACGCTTTCGCATAAGCGGAGCATGTCACATCACGCACACAGTAAAACGGGGTAAGCAGCAGTCGGCATCGCCCCTGTGTGGTGAGAACTATAGTGTCGGATTGGCTACATCTGTGGCCAACCCCCCCCGAAAAGGAGCAAAACAGGAGCAACAAGAGGGTGGAAAGCGAGGGGAAAGGAACAAAACGGGGGGGGGGGAATAGGGCACAAGAGCGTGGGGGACGAAACGAAAACAAAGGGGGGGAAAGGAAACAAAAAGCGCATCAGACTAACAAAAAAAAGAGAGAGAAAAAAAATGGATGGACTGACTCACAGCAGCGATTTCTTTCCCCTTGAGGCTCTTGGCGGTAGTCGTCGTCTGGGTTGGACATGTCATCTCCGACATCTCCGACGTCTCGCCTGGGAAGGGCGGTGGCGGGCTCGGCGAGGTCTGACCTGATGAGAAAGTTCTGGTTCCACTCCGGCCTTCTCGTACCGCGATCGGCCTTCGTACACCCGACCTAGGGCACCAAAAGTTGTTGATGATGTTTTTGTTATTCCTTGTTGTGGTGTTTGTTGTTGTTGCTGCTGTTGCTGTTGTTGCTGCTGTCTTAACATTGAAACCGTTCCTCCGGTCACTATTAAAGTACCAGTTTCTAATATCCGCCCATCCGGTAACCCGTCCTACATAACCGCCATATTCACCCACCGTATCTGTGAACATTCAAGGCATAAAAACGACTTAAGCATTGTATATGTGCCAAGGAATTTTAGCCGCCCATCCGATAACCCGTCCTACACAATCCGCGTCATTGCCTGCCCTATGTATGCATATGCCAAGCACAAAAACGACTTGAATATTTTGTCTTTGCCAAGAAATTTCACCCGCCCATCCGGTAGGTAACCCGTCCTACATAACACGCCGCATTTACCCGCCCTTTCTGCATGCATTAAAGCATAATATGACGCGACCATATGCTAGCTAGTAAACGTGAGTAAAGCTATTCCACCCGCCCATCCGGTAGGTAACCCGTCCTATATAACCCGCCATGCCTGCATAAATATATAAGCATGAGATGACTTGACCATTCTATGCAAGTAAACGTGCGTAAAGTTATTCCACCCGCCCATCCGGTAGGTAACCCGTCCTATATAACCCGCCGTATTTACCCGCCATGTCTTCATACATATATAAGCATGAGATGACTTGACCATTCTATGCTAGTAAACGTGAGTAAAGCTATTCCACCCGCCCATCCGATAGGTAACCCGTCCTACATAACCCGCGGTATTTACCCGCCATTTCTGCATACACATATAAGCATGAGATGACTTGACCATTCGATGCTAGTAAACGCGAGTAAAGTTATTCCACCCGTCCATCCGGTAGGTAGCCCTTGTTACGTAACCCGCGGTATTTACCCGTCCTTTTGCATGGATATAAAAGTATGATATGACTTGACTTTTTTGTGCTAGTAAACGTGAGCCAAGAAATTTCACCCGCCCATCCGGTAACCCACCATCCTACAGTGCACGGCTCGCCCAGAAAGGTAGCCTCCGACTGTGCCGCACGACGAATGNGTAAAGTTATTCCACCCGCCCATCCGGTAGGTAACCCGTCCTATATAACCCGCCGTATTTACCCGCCATGTCTTCATACATATATAAGCATGAGATGACTTGACCATTCTATGCTAGTGAACGTGAGTAAAGCTATTCCACCCGCCCATCCGATAGGTAACCCGTCCTACATAACCCGCGGTATTTACCCGCCATTTCTGCATACACATATAAGCATGAGATGACTTGACCATTCGATGCTAGTAAACGTGAGTAAAGTTATTCCACCCGTCCATCCGGTAGGTAGCCCTTGTTACGTAACCCGCGGTATTTACCCGTCCTTTTGCATGGATATAAAAGTATGATATGACTTGACTTTTTTGTGCTAGTAAACGTGAGCCAAGAAATTTCACCCGCCCATCCGGTAACCCACCATCCTACAGTGCACGGCTCGCCCAGAAAGGTAGCCTCCGACTGTGCCGCACGACGAATGGCGAATCCCAACGTGTGCGTGTTTCTTTAGCACTAGTAGCATCGGACCGGGCGGTGTGCGAGCTTTCGTAGCATCGACGGTGCTAACCGGCTGACCAGCGACACGACGCTCGAGTCTCCGTGCGATTGTTCGTCCCATTTTTTCTGGCGCCAGTACAGAGTGCAGTAGAGAGTCCCCGAATACGGCGGTCTACATAAGGCGGGTGAAATTGGCTGGCATGGACGGAATAATCAAGTTGTTCTACACGTTGAGTAAGCCGGCCGCCCCATTCGAGGCGACCATTAGCAGCGGCCTCGCCGCGGCCGCCATAATCCCCACTGTACTGCAGCTTTTTGTTCGACATTTGGAACGTTCCGTGGGTCTAAGGAGCGCCCGAGATGATACTCTGACTTCGTGCACAGGGAGCGTTGATCAATACCACCATTAACGATACTACTGCTGTTGGTGTACATGTTTGACGTACGCATCAGCCGGGGTCACACAGGACGAAGGTCATACAGCTACGGGAGCATGTATGTATTTGTTACATGTCACGCCTTTCGTCCAACCGTGCGTGTAGTGGAATGCTGTATCTGTCGTGTGGAGACACCCACATGCCCAAAGAGAAAACATGCCAATGCTAGCCTTCACTGGTACACATCTACGGAGAGAAAAAAAAAAAAATCTACGGAAAGCCCTCGACGACATGTTTCCAAAACTGTCTGCAAATATGGATACGTTACCCGTGCTGTTCGAGGATGTTCAACGAAGAGAGGAAAGACAGACATCTAACCTACGCTGTGCTTTAGCAGTGCGCGCCATTACTAAAGAATCTCCTTCACTTTCCACGGGGGCTCGCTTCGTACGGTATTTCCGGCTAACCCAGCGACCATGTTTCGTTTATTTTACCCAGTGACTGCTGTACAGGTTTTGTGTCAAGCGAGGGAGCTGCACCTATCAGCAGTCGTCTGCATACACAGGTCACGTTCTTCATCTTTTCGACTGTTTTTTTGGCTGAACTTCTTTATCTCAAAGTGGCAGAGCGTACACTGCTGTACAGGCTAAACTGCGGCAGCACAGCCATTATTGTATGCATACAGCAGAAGTCGGAACCAATACCCACAACACCGGGGGCCTAGAGCAAAACAGCACCAGCATAAACTGCAACATGGAATGGCGCAGTCGGTCACTGGTGCCGCCATCGAAGTCAAGCGGAGCTTGCGTAAGGAAACGCAGGTTCAGCTACTGCTGTTAGGACAAACGTTCACCCTTGTTGGAAAGAGGGCACGAGCTGTTGGGCTTCCACACAAGCCACCGTAGTTGTGCCTGTCCGACAGAAACACCAGCATGAAAGCCAGCTCGCCTCAAGCAACGTTGCTGGAGCATCCTTGGGAAGCTCCTTCCGCGCGTGTTCTTGGATTGAAGGACCGAATTATCGTCCCGATTTCGAAAGGACACACAGCAGCAGCAAAGAGCAATTATTTTCCAGTCAGCAGGCGTGGCAGTCGCCCCCTCTCCGCGAGGAGTGCTCGCAAGGGTTACAAGGCGATATGCTCACCTTTTCTCCGTTGAACTTGACCACCACATATGGGTCGGGCATGCCCCGGGCTCGAGCCAACCCCACGGCGCCGGCGGACCTCGGCAATCCCCTCGCGGACACGACGTGAATCCTCAGCAGAGGGATCTCGTCCTCAACGTTCACCTCGTACGACCTGCTGGGCGGAAACGGCGGCCGCTGCTTGTTGCTCATATCGTGGCGTGAGCCCCAGCGCGGGGTGTGAGGAAGACACACCACACCCCCCTCTGCTGTGCTATCTGGTTTGTGTGAGCATCATGGAATCCATGCCGAGAGGGGCGCCGCAGAATAGAGGGCGGTATGTGATTTCTGACACTTGCAACTACAACGGAGTATCATTCCTGTTCTAGTCATCATGTGGGCGTACTCTCTGTTGTGGTTGTTGTTGTTGTTGTTGTTGTTGTTGTTGTTGTTGTTGTTCTCACGTTAGGTATCGTCCACAAAAAATAGGGAGGCCTTGGTCTCAAAACCCGGCACATACGACGCCGCGGGGAAACAAAACAAAAATAGGGTACAAACCACTTGGAACAAGAAAAAAAAAAAATGATAGAAAGAAAAGAACAGGCACCGCACCGACCGTTCGAGAAAAGCGCCCTCGGAAACCGATCAAAATAAAACAAAAACACACCCAACAGCAGCAGTACCCAACATCATTCATTCGTCGGAGATGTCCCTCTATGCTCTCTGGGAAATTGTAGTCATACAGGTAGTTTTCACTGACACTATGATCCCATTGTAAATCTGTCTCTGACTCTTGTCTATGATAGAGATGGACTCGAGTTCGTTGTGTTATATATACGAAAAAAATAAAATCAAAGGGTAACGTACCAACACTAGGCACTACGCACCAGGGCATGGGAGTAACGGAACAAACAGACAAAGAGGCGGCAGATGGGCAGACAGCCAGACATGCAAAATCAAAAGCAACAGCAATAGCGAGATCAAGGTACCCAACACTGCAGAGTAGGCAGGGAGGTGATGAAAGAAGCACAGCACAGAGGCCGAAGGCAATAATAGTCTACAAACGATATATAGTACATAAAGGAGTATAGCACACAGCAGGGAGGGAAACAGGGCGCAACAACATCAGCCGGGTACATAGTTCGCCACAAGTGCTGCCTCGGCCGCCCTACTCCCTCCTACAGCAGTGCCCGGTCGCCGTTTCTTCCCCCCACCGTCGTTTCCCCGACTCTCTTTCTCTTCGGTCCTGAGATGGCCATACTCTCTGCTTCTTCTGCTTCCCTGGCGCGCTGGCGGTTCGCGGACGCTTCCGCCTCCTGCCTGTGCCATTTTCCTCATGCGCCATGCCGCCCCGTCCTCGACCTTGTTATACCACACCTCCAGGTCCTTGGCGCTCTCTTTCTCCATTTACCCCCTTCCGTTTCGTCTCCCTTGTTCAAGGCAACGAGGTCCTCTCCTGGATAGACGAGACACGCAGTCGCTCTCCTGCCCGTCCCGATACCCCACGCCCCCCGCCATCGCTCCTAACAGCATGCGCTTGGGGAGGCGGTTGTCCTCCATGCGCATAACAAAGCCCGCGAAGCACAGTCTCCGTTTGGGCACGGTGGCCTCTATGGTCTCCTCGCAGTCTGCCTGGATCGGGGGCTGGGCATAGGACAGGGGGCGGTCTGAGCGTTTCCGCTTGCTCCAGCCGATGCACCGTGTGAGGAACTGGCGGTGGGTCCCGTTGAGCTTCGTGTAGTGCTCCGCTGTTAGACTCCACGAGGCGCACCCCTATAGGAGAGTCCACCACTTCAGCCTAGAGTAGCCGGATCTTGAGCTGGCGGTTGGCCCGTCGCCTGTCGTACATCGAAGCACTGTTCCGGCGGTAGCACTTCCTTCCACGCTCGGCAGCTGCGGCTCGTGATCTGTTGTGGTGCTGTGTTGGCCCGGTTTAGCAACCCTCCCAGTGTCAGGAGTGAGTATGGTCGTTGTTCAGGGCAGTTGATATTGCCAGTAGCCGGGGTGCAGTGGTGGCAAAAGCTCGATGCACCGGACATGTCGCATGTAAGAAGGTCGCTCGATCTCGAAGTTTCGCGATGCCATCTGCTCTCGGACGAAGTACTGTAACCGTTTCACGTGCATGTATGTGCGTATGTATGAATATTATGTAGAACGAGTCTATCTAGACTAGACTGCCCTATTCGAAGGCCTCCACTGCGGCGGTATATATAACCGAAGCAGCGGTGGTTGCCTCCTCCGTAGTGGCGATGGCGGCAGGAGCATCGCCCTTGAGGGCACTGAAGGACCAAACAGTAAGTGATTGCAATCGAGAAACGTTCACCACGTGTAAGAGAGAAACCGTATGCTTTAAACCTGTTTAGACTATACGGTAACAGTTAGCTTCTGTTTCTTCAATGAATGCTTCTTCACAGGAGGAATAGTCTAGTAGTTAGTGATTGCAATCGAGAAACGTTCACCACGTGTAAGAGAGAAACCGTATGCTTTAAACCTGTTTAGACTATACGGTAACAGTTAGCTTCTGTTTCTTCAATGAATGCTTCTTCACAGGAGGAATAGTCTAGTAGTTAGTGATTGCAATCGAGAAACGTTCACCACGTGTAAGAGAGAAACCGTATGCTTTAAACCTGTTTAGACTATACGGTAACAGTTAGCTTCTGTTTCTTCAATGAATGCTTCTTCACAGGAGGAATAGTCTAGTAGTTAGTGATTGCAATCGAGAAACGTTCACCACGTGTAAGAGAGAAACCGTATGCTTTAAACCTGTTTAGACTATACGGTAACAGTTAGCTTCTGTTTCTTCAATGAATGCTTCTTCACAGGAGGAATAGTCTAGTCTAGTCTGTCTAAACAAACCGAATGGGCGGACGCATGCTGTAATATTATAGTCTAAAGAAGAGGGCAAAACAATCTGTCTCTCTTTCGAGAGAACCTGCAGCAGTAGTCTAGTCCCGCAACACCTAAACGGATTACCTCGCTACTCAACTACATCAGTTTACTACGCGGACGTAAGTTGTGGGAAGCCGTGCAATGTGTGGAGAGATATCGAGAAAGATGTGTGCCGTGCTGGTCGGGCCGACAACCCGCATCCGGGGGATTGTTCGTGGTCCACGCCGTCGAGGAAAATACCGTGAGTGCTGGTCAGCTTCCGAAACCTAGCCCTAACCCTGACCCTGACCCATTTTATTCTGTTGGCCGCCACCCGCTTGATCATCACCTGGATATGCTACAGACTACATGGACATATCGATCGGCGGTCCCTCGGGTTCAAGCCATACATGTCGCAGAGATGAGGACGCTGAAGGCAAGTGAATCCATCTCTCTATCCATAGTCTAAACAATTTGTCGCGGCGTTTAACGTAGAGGTGATATGGCAAACGTGCGTGTGCGCGATTTCAAGGCAGACTCGCTACAACTACGCCACAGTTTCAACCGCGCCCATGAGTAGGCTTAGACGTAAACAAACAAACGTAGCTTCTCGCCAAATTCGACACACAAATTCGACACCGCCCGTCACCAGAAAATAACCGCCATATGGCGTTACCGCCGAAAAATTTAGTCTACACCTTGTAATGTTTTGCCGGCTTCGCCCATAAGCCGCAGCCGCCGAAAAGCAAACGCAATACCGTCTACCACCAAAACCATTACCGCCATAGACTACGGCAATGCCGCCGAAAGAGCCATGTAAGTAAGTACATCCGCTGACGCTGACGGGAAAGTGGCCGATGGGCTGAGTGGGCAGACGCCTCGTCTCGTCGACAGCACGCACGCGAGCAAAGTGTGAATCGGGGGTTGGTTCGGGGTCCATGCGTTTTGATCCCTTTCACGTTGTTGTTTCGGTTGTTCGTCGAGTTTTGACGCTAAAGCAACCGTGAAAACCACCACTGGTGAAACTCCACATCAATGCCGAGTAGGTGTGCAGGGTTAAACCGGCGGAGAAAAGCTGGTCCTTCGTTGAGACGCTGTAACTTACCTTATATGACACGAGATAACACACCCCCTGGACCAATTTTCAAAGCTCGATTACTCCACGGCGAAGAGGACGCAGAAGTGAAACAATACATTTTCGGAAAGCTCTAGACGAAACACTCTCAACTCCACCGTTTTTCGCGCCGCAACTCTTTCTGCTGTCGAGAAATCGAGATTTGAAAAATCGGTCCAGGGGGTGTGTTATCTTGTGTCATTTACGGTAGCACCTACCGCCTTGTTTGGTATTGCTTCAATTTACGGTCATATGGCATTCATCACCACCGTGAAAATACCGCCTTTTGGTGTGCTGTACCGGTGTACCACCACTTTTCCGCCGGTTTGTAGTTAACGGGTTCCGCCAAAGTAGACAGTTACGGCCGAATCACGCACACGCTGCCTACCGCCAGAAAAATGATGCCGTCTTTTTGTGTTTAACCGCCTGCGCCCAAGCAAGGCGGTACCGCCGAGAAACGCATTAACACTGCCTACCACCAAAACAATTACCGCCATACGGCAATCAGGTTTTACCGCCTCCGCAAAAGTAGTTACCGCAAAACAACGCCATACCGCCTACCGCCGAAAGAATACGGCCCGATGGCTTCGCCACCGAACACGTGCCCGCCTACGAAAGCGTTACCGAGTGAACGCTTGTTACAAAATCAGTTATCCTTCAGGTGATGCCCTACTGGGACACGAATCGTACCGGGATGGTGAAACCCGTGACAACGTTGATCACCGCAACAAGTAGTCTAGTCCATACAAATATGATAGTCCCTAGATAGATGGCTCCATGAAACCTGTTTGTATGATTGCAGCTCTGGTGGGACATTGATTCTATCCCAGCGCCTCGAAATGTGTGGGCTTATTGTAATTGTTGTCTCCAATTTTCACACCGTTCCGATATCTTCTCTGTATCTTCTCACACCACCCGTGTAATGGTCTTAATTGGCGAGCTGGAGACTAAGTACGAACGAACCCCTAGCCTCGTGCTATTAAGGAGATTACTGAGTGGTATTGCGTGCTCATGCGGCTGGTATGTGGCTCAGCCCCCCCCCCTTCTCTGTTTTCGGCTGGAACCTTTGGCGGGGGGTAATGGCTGCACGGGGCAGTACTGCAAGCTCCCCGCCGCCACTTCCGGCTGGTTGACGTGATCCAAAGCTTTAAAACGGCTCCAAGGCGGTCTGTCTGCCGTGCTCAACATCGCAGCAGACCTCCCCCACGGCCCGCACCCTCGGCCCTCAAGTTCCAACGGGTTCATGCCAGGACCCGCCCTTGCCGTCATTCTGTCCTTCATCCGACGATTTTTCTAGGAAACTTTCCGTTACTGCCCCCGATCCCCTTTCCACGAGAAGAACCGGGACGCATGTCTCCCGTGCCCATAAACAAGTGCTGGTCGGCCAACAGATCTCTGGCTTCTGCAGCCGCGGTCCCCTGCGGTACAGCGACCAACGCACGAGCGGGGCGGTGGGTGGGAACGTGTCAGCAACCAGACAAAATGCATATCACGTAGCGACAGCAGTTGTTGATTCCGAATACTGCTGTGTGTAGCGCACCACGTACCGAACAATACTCGACGTGTAGGCTCTAGTCTAGACCTCGTTGGCATCGTGGGCTTCACCTACAACCACTACAATAGTTTGCTTCAATGGGTTTCGTGTGGGCATTCGTACTCAAAGCAACAGGAGCTTCGATGTCTCATGGGCCAAGCACTCGGGTGATGGTGGCGTCATCTGTACAGATCGTATGTCTGTGAGGTGCCACAGATTCGCCTCCGGCACGGAACCCTCCGGCGTTGTAGGCGGGTGTGGGAAGCGTTCCCCGTTCTCCTTTTATTTTATTTTGATCGGTCTCCTCGACGCTCTTTCTCGTTTGGTGCGGTAGCTGGTCTTTCTTTCTGTCATTTTGTTTCTCTTCCGAGTGGTTTTTGTACCCTATTTTTTTCTGTTTCTTCGTGGGGTCGTGTATGCCGGGTTTTGAGACCACGGGCTCCCAATCTTTTTTTTTTTAGAGCTAATGTGAGAAACAACAACAACAACAACAACAACAACAACAGGTGAGAAGCCCCGCCTACACCACACCGCCGTTGGTTTCAGGCTTGCACTCCGTAGGCGATTGATTTCGCTAATTACATACACTATCTTTTCCTCCTCTCTATTTTCGGTACATATCAACAATAATCGACAGCGAAGGTATCATGCAATCGCCTACGGAGTACCGGCCTAATTGGGCTGCAGCAAGCGCGTCGAAGGCCGCCTACCGTAGCAATGCGTAAGAGCACCTCACCCCGTCGGTACCACGTACCTACCGTATACTTCGCGATTCCAAAGGATCGAGAGCGGAGAGGGTGCACCTTTGCAGCTCTAGCAAACACTCATCGCACAAAATACCTTCATGGCATATCAGGAGCACACACTAGTCGTAAGACCATGAGCGAGCGTGCAGCTTTTGCAGCAGATGCGCTCAAGTGGGAGCCAGATTGAACAGACGGAGACTTCATGGAAAATATTGCGCTGCAGACTGTAGTGGACAAACCTCGGGCATGACGTTGTCGGCGATCCTTGCCAACGTTTTCCCCGCGAGCCGCCGCATGAACTTGCTCGCCACCACCTGGGCGCCAGGCATCATCTCCGGTGCCAGTGGCGCCAAAGTTTTGGCGGTGGCCGCAATGTCTCGTGGCCGAAGCTTCGGGATGGTCTTGATCAACGACGCCGGGAAACGCGCTCGCTTGTGACCCTGAAGAAGCGGACGGGCGGCCGGGACGTCTGGGGTTAGGGCTCCATTGGCATCCGAGACGACGGACCGCTGACGTGAGACGCGAATGAACTCGGAGGGTCTTTGTGAAGTCCTTGTCCGCTGGGGGTTAGCAACGCGCGCCGTCATACACACAACCTTTAGACTAGTTGTTCTTCTTGTGTCCCGTCTATTCTGGGCACTAGTCGACGCCTCCCGGTACATGTTTTGACGCACTAGCCTTCTCTAAGGGAGGGGTTCATTCGAGGATATGTTAAAAAGGAAGGAGTGGTGGTGACGGTGGCAACGACGCTTGCGGCTGTTCCAAGTGCTGCGCTTTTCTTTGACGATCTTCTCGCAACCTTTGCGCACCGAGCGCGAAGAATCGTTGCCTGCTGAAAACTGCTTCACGCGATCTCTCTCTCTGTCTCTCTATCTCTGTCTCTGTCTCTATCTCTATCTCTGTCTGTCTCTCTCTCTCTCTGTCAGTCTCTCTTTCTCTCTCTCTTCCTTTCTCTCTCTCTCTCTTTCTTCTCCCTCTCTCTCTCTGTCTGAGACCACGTCCTCGAGTTTAACCCACTCTAAGCAAATCGCCACTCGGAGGCTCCGCAAATGGTTTTCCCGAAAGCGGTCGTTGATAGTACTGTCTCTCGATCAAAAGGTCCCATACGAAATGAGAAAAGCGTATCCCGTTCTGCTAGCGAGGCGGTTCCAAGGTTCAACCTACCCCTCGTCAAAATGTGAGGGACTCCGTATGTCGACAGCGCTGTGCGAAATGTCTTGGAAACGGACGGGTAATACACCGTCGAAATCCCCAAATGGCTACGTATGTCGACCGGGGGATTTGCAACAGCAATGCTACCTGGCCCACCTCGGCCTCAAGGGAAGCATCCTCGTACTGCCACTCTCTTCTCTCGGCAGCCCCCGCTGTCAACGGATTCTTCGCGCCGCTCGTGCTTCCTGTAGCTCTCCTGAAGATGTCTACTAGCCTTTCTGTCGCCCGGAGAGTCTCCTGGCAGCGTCAAGGTTAACATTGTGATTGGTAAAGATCAATCTCAGGGAAGAACTGAGATGTTACAAAGGTGAATCTTGTTTCGGTTCAGGCTACGGATAAACCGAGGCTGGAGTTGGTCGAGTGTTGAAGCAAAGGCTACATGGCTGAGGTCGAGCTTGTGGGTGAGATCGATGCTTCGGCTGAGGCTAAGGCTGAGGTTGAGGCGAAGCACGGGTCAAAGTGCACATGAAGAGCAAGGATGATTTCAAGGTCGAAGTCAAGGGTTGTCCTCTATTTCTGCTGTCTGGACGAAAAGTTTGTGGGTGAGATCGAAGGTTCGGGTGAGGCTAACAAAGGTTACGGATGAGATGAAAGGTCGATCCAAGCGTACAAGAAGACTTAGAATGCTTTAAGGTTTGCCAACTATTTCTGCTGTCTGGACAAGAATTCTATGTACTGACATGGGGTTTTGTCTGTTGACTTCCTCTACCCCTGAATGGTGGCCCCTTTTTTACAGAAGACGTCACCTCTCAAGAACCTCCTATTTAGCCGAACGGCTAGTTGCTTGCTGGTAGTGGGGGTTATCAACAGCGATAAAGATTCTTAGCTGAGCAACTGTGCTTATGGTCAAGTTTTTGAAATGTAGTCTATAGACTATACCAGGTTTCCACGACCCCTGTGTTATGCACACCTTATCCTCGTCGGAGAGCTTCAGCACGCTCTCGACCCTCGTGATGATGCGCTCGACCATTAGGTACGGCAGCTGGATGGGCAGCAGGAGAGGGTTTAGGTGACCGTCGGGGGACGGCCTGAAGGAGAGGTTGCTCAGAGGAATGGGCTCCATCACGCCGTCTGCGAAACGCCTCAGTACCTGTTGGAGGGAGGCGTGTTTCGAGAGGGTGGGGGGGGGGGGAGGGTGCTCATCTTTTGCATGGCCTAGTTTATTGACCATTGACCACGCGTCATCGAGAATGGGGGGGGGGATCTGCATTTCTGGATGCTTTTGTGGTTCCGGTGTTGTAAGCAGGAAGACGCGGCGGGTGTTGTTGCTTGAACTGTTTCAGAGGAGATCCGCGAACGACCAACCAGGAGAGGAAGACGAAGAATCATACTTGTGGCCGACAACCCTCACGAACTTGGCGGACGATGGCGCATCTCAACTCAAGATTGGCAAACAGTAAAGCTTCTTCGCCAAGAGACATCACGGGAGGTTACTATGCTTGGTGATCCATGGGGCGTGCACTGACGGTGACTTTCTTCGCGGTTGTACCGTACACGGAAAGGAAAGAAGAACACAAACGACGCTCGGATATATCCCCGAGGTTTAACGAATTGCCCAACCTGGTTTAGGGTCCCTCTGCAGGGGGTAAACATATGGGGAGTGAAGGACCCTTGTAACCAGACCTACTGATGTTCGAATTTTACTATTGTCAATGAACGATAAAATACACCTTTTTCAGTACAGTGTGCATACCTGCAAAATTTCCAGATTGACTTCCCTCCCAAGAGCGTCGGTCATTCTTGCCAGCTCCTCCACCACCTGAGACGAAACAAAGACATGGCAAAGCCGGCGGTTTCAACTGGTTCGCGGAGCGTTGGTGGCAACCACGAGCTTCTTGTGTTATTGCGGCGGTTGATGCTTTCCTCACGATCACAAACGCGGTAGTGCGGTGTGGTGCAGAGGCAGAGGCGCGGGGGGCGACGGGTAGGTTCTCCCCTGTTTTCTTAGACGCATCGAGTATCAACAAGCACTGCATCACACCCGGTTAGGTTCGTTAGCAGAAGTGTACTATTGGTGTACTGATGCATAACTTTGCGAGGGGGGGTTCCGTGGGGTATCTGTTAGGTCATGATTTTGGACAGAGCTGCGTGGAAAAGATCGCACCGTGGGGCACTCGAAGGCGATAAAAAAGGCAAAGTTGGTGAAAGGGAAATACTTCGTACTGGCACGAGCCGTCATGACGTTGGCTCGACAGCACCGAACACCCTTCTTACAAAAAAACAGAAAAAGAAACAGGGAGAAGGACCTCAACACATCCCTTCGAACGGCGTACTATTTCGGACGGGTAGTCTTTTGCTGATATTATGGTATCCCCTTTCACATTGAATTATCACCCGCTTGATTACATTGCTGTGCTCCCATGGATCCATCCCCCAGGGACCCATTGAATACTCTAAGAAGATGAACAACAACACACACACACACGAAGACGATCAACTAACCAAGTCCTGGACGTAGTTCCCTTCCTTGGCGAACAGGAGCCGGAGCGCGTCCATCACGACCGGATCCGACGCCGGATCAATGTACGGGACCCCCGGCCGCCTCCCTCCGCCTTCCCGCACAAGCGCCGCGTCCCCCGTCGCCTCCCCCTGCCGTCGCTGGTGCTGCAATGGTGCGTAGTCACCGAGGGTTCCGAAGCCGGAGGTCGGCGAAAACGCCTCCCCGTTGACGGTAGCGGTGGGTTCAGTGCCGTATCGGGACATAATACCGCTGCCGCCTGGGGCGCTAACCTCGGCTGCCAGCGCTGTGAAGGTGCGGTAGCCTTCCAAGATCTCGTCCACACGGTCTACCTGCGGTAAGCGCGATAGTTTCTCGCAATGAGTGTTTTCTTTTGTGATGTGAAAACGGCATCATTGCCGCTGTGTTTTTTTTTTGCTAAGATGGAACGTTCGCCCAGCCTGCTCGTGGTGACAGGCGTGGGGGCTTCTCGGATGAAAACGATTGCTCGAGAATAGACAACAACAGCACAGCGACGACGACGACGACGACGACGACGGTAACAGCAACGACAACGATGACGGAGAAAATGAAAAACTACGAAACGAACAACGACGACAACAACGGCGATGTCAACGACAATGACACCAGCAGCACTCGCAGCAGCAGCAGCAGCAGCAACGACAAACCTGCAGGAAATCCCCGTCCTTGCCGTACAGGAAGCTCTTGAGCATCCGGCGCATTCTCGGAGTATCCTCCGTCAGCAGTCGTCGGCACAGGTACGGGAAGCACTCCTTGACGATGCTATACCCGGGGTCTATCGACAAGCCGAGACCCTCTAGGGTGCCGAAGCAGCGGATGATGAGCCCGAAGTAAGCCGGTATGCTGATAGGGTAGTTCTTTGCCAGCTCCTCCACTTCCTCTCCGACGGTGTCGATGGTAATCGTCTGAGCACCCCCACCCTCGCTCAGCTGCTCCATCACCTGATTGGTTGGAATTAAGGGGCGCATGGGCAGAGGTGGGCGATGTGCTCATGCAAACGCATGCCATGGTTGTTAGACGATTGATCTCGCATCAGGACTACTGGCGATATGCCGTGTTTGCGCCGGCCCACGATATGTTTCACAAGGAAAAAAACAAAAGACCCAAACAAGGGGCATGGGATGGGGGGGGGGGGCATACTCGTGTTTTGCATGCCTGAGTTGTTAGGCCATTGACCGCACGTCCTCGAGAGGACGGAGCTAGTTCCCACCCACACAGGACCGATCACCGATGGCCAATCGTTCCTTTCCTAGTTTGCCACAGGTGGCTACATAACGTGGGTGTGCGAGGGGGGTGGGCGTGAGCGGCTCGACTCATGATAGCGATTGAGTCATTCACCAAGGACCCTCACTGGAGACAGGCCGCCGTCACAACATCCCCAAGCAGGTTCGATTCGAGCTTTCGCAATTCAATACGCGATCGCCGCCATGTTTTCCAAGTTTGCTACGACTGTGCTTTCTTCACATGTCGCCACTGAGGAGCACCGTCTGTCCGTGCTATAGCCGCGTAGGGAAGTCGAGCGTTGTCTAAAACCCACCGCAACAAAGCAAAGTTGTGTTGCCACAGGACCGGGTGCCGGAGTCCTAGTCAGAAACACAAATGCAGCGAGGCGTTGACCTGAACAACTTGACTACTTTCGTTCGAGTATCAACAACATCGGTTCCTTTTCTTCAACAATTGTTAAATGTTCCAACTGCACTTCAATTCTGTCGATAACCCCCTTGAACATGACCGGTACGATCGATCATGTTTTCTTCGCAAAAAGGAGTTGGAGCACTTGCCGGTGATCATTCTTATTCTCGCGGAGTGCTGATTTTTCCCGTACTGAGGTCGAAAACTTGGTACTGGTCACCAACCGGTTAGCGCGACCATTGCTAGTCAAATAAAATATGCACAAGAACACGCAACGGCGTGTTTTTCAGCGGCCAGCAGGAAAGCGTGGTCGATGCCAACTGACAGACATATTCACACACCTTAGCGAGGAGCGGGACAACGAGGGCAACTTTCTCAGGATCATCCCCGACTTCTGGCGAGATAAAGCCGAGGATGATCAGGTCCTCTAACGTGGCGGGGTAATCCTTGGCAATGAGATGGATCACATACTCCAGGAGCGCGTAGCTCTGTTCTTCGGTCACCTGGAGAAACGGTGGCACGCAGACAATATGAACACACGGTGCCGACGGGGGGGGGGCATGCGCCTAACTTGAGGACGGGAGAATTTTCTTCAACCGGAGCGCGCCCAAAATTTGCTGACCCCTCACGGTTGAACAATCAAGCAGACGTCAGCAGAACTCTTTGTTCTTAAATTTTGCATGTGGCGGACGACCATGTTCGATGTCCTAGGCTTGGATGTGATGTTCCATCTCGGGCGGCCTCGTTCTAGGCCCACATCGCGAGGCCAACGACACGTATATGGCTCGGTTTCCCCGCCCAAAGGCGATTGCTCTTCATATGAGATAATTCTCGTCGTCGTCGTTGTGGTTGTGCCTGCTACCCGTGTTAACATGCTACGCAAACTGCCAACCTACATCAACATCGGAGTTGGCAAGATGATTGCAGGAGGAGGGAGACAAACAAAGCTGATATCGATACCCCGCCGCGAATTATGCCAAGCGGGCCATTGCGAAGACAAAAAGATGGTACCTCGGTCATTAGCCCGAAGTCGAGCACGCACAGAGTCCCGTCATCCTGCAGGAGGAAGTTGCCTGGATGGGGGTCGGCGTGGAGGAAACCGTTGTCGAGCAGCTGCACCAGGTAGGAATTCAAGAGCGTTGCCTGTGGAGTGAACGAGGCGAGAGACAGAGGAAGAAGGTCGAAGCGTGAGGACCAGGTTTTGCCGTGCGTATGAACATGCGTGCTCGACAGGAGAAGCACAGGGACCTAAAACTTCGTCAGGGAAAAACGTTTCTTTCCAGCAGGAGGTTTACATATGGGAACCTAGTCGCTTACTACGTAAACAAGACACGTGCTCGAAAGGGTCCCTAGGTAGCCAGTCCTGGGTCAAAACGTTCCGAACCGCGTCTCTGGTAAAAAACAAGCAACGGAAGCAACCGCCACATCAAGACCACCAAAACAGAACGACAAACATCCCATCAACAGCACTCCCTCCGCCACAGCTACTAATCCCTGTGCCATAACAGGCCACGCTGTTAGAAACAGCAACATCATGATCGTTCCAACAAAGACGCACGATACCACAGCCACCGCCACCCACCTGTAGAGTTGCGAGGCATGCTCTCCCCTCGGGACTCCTAGCCTCCAGGTTCGAAGCCTTCTCCCCGTCCACCCACTGGGTTACTAAGACGTATCTCGTCGTCATTTCCCGGTAGACGGAGGGGACCTTGATCGCGCTCCCGAGGCTCTTGTGCTTGGCCATTTCCTTGGCGAAGCGGTCGGCGTTGTCGGCCTCCATCGTGTAGTCCATCTCTTCCAGGAACCTCACCGCCCAGCTGTCTATGAGGCTCTTGACTGAGCGGGAGGCGTCGCGCAGTATGGACACCGTGCTGCGAGCGCGAATGAATGCGATTGAGTACCGATTAAGATAAAAGTGAGCTGACGGGTTCCTTGGGAATCGGGTCTTCCTTAACACTCCCCACCCACAGAGTTTCCCCTCGACTGGGAACCGGTTAGGGCCAGGAAGGGTAATTCGATAGAGGTTTCGCGGGCTATTGCTAAGATCGAGTCCGAGATATGCTCCCTGGACTGACCCGTACATTTGTCCGTGGAAATGTCCAAGGTAGGAGAAGAGTGTGCACAACCGGAGTGAGTATCGAACTACTAGTGTTGTCCTAGACGACGCCGTTGCGAAGTTGTGACGATTGTGGTAAATTCATTTGACGGATATGTTGGGAAGCGAATCCTGCTTAACACGAACATATGGTAACAGAAGAGCTCTCAAACGGCGTGAGGCAAATTGGTTGTTCGTTCAACATCAACGTACACGTCTACCGTGGGCTGCAGCAGATACCTACCCTGGACCGGTTTTCAAACGTCGACAAGTCTGCGGCAAAAGCAATGACGGTGCCGAAAATGGCAGCCTTGGAACCAACTCGTCGAGATCTTCCCGACACGTAAAAATTGATTTTGGCATCCCCTTCGTCGTTGAGCAATCGAGCTTTACTACTCGGCTCAGGGGACAGGGGATGTGGTATCTTACGCGTGACTTACGGTACCACGGCGTACCCGGTAGCAGGGTTGGTTGGTGCTGCTAACAAAAAAAAATTCCATGCAATTTCCGAGCATGGAACCCATCCGCTTGCCTTCTACAAAAATGCCACATACTTTTGTACTCCGTTCGCGAATGTAGGGACCATGCGGACAATCGCATTGAATGGTCACTATGTTCCCAAACCGAGTGGTATCAACAATATCGTAGAAGCAACTTTTGACTCCCCGTGCAAGCTACAGCTTTTGCACGCTCACCCGATGAGGTCGAGAATGATGCGGATGACGTAAAGGTCTTGCGTCACCGTGGCCAGAACCTTCGGCCGCTGGATCTTTACCGCCACCGTCTCCCCCGTCCCCTTCAGCCTCGCCTTGTACACCTGCCCCAGCGACGCGGCCGCGATGGGCCTGTCGAAGGACTCCACGCTCTCGAAGGCTTTGCCGACGGGGACACCGAGCTCGCGCTCCAGGATCTTCCTCGCTTCCGCGGAGGAGAACTCAGGCACTCGGTCCTGTAGCTTCTGCATCTCTTCGAGGTATGGTGTGGGAAGGATGTCCGGGCGGATGGACGCCCCCTGCCCCACCTTTTTGAGGAAAAAAACATTGAAACAAGGGAAGGCTACAATACCCGTTTGAAATATACCCACAGTAATCGAAGAGGATATGCTGAAGCCTTTCAGTGAGTGGAGGGAAACCGGCTGGAAACTCGGCTTATTTTATTGTCTGTTCAAGCCTAGCACTGAATGTTATCAGTAATTCCAGCTGGTGCTAGGCAAAATATCTACAACATATATTTTTATTCACAAGTACCAGATTTGTTGTCTTCAAGTCATTTAATAGATGGACATATTCTACAATACATTCCCTGTAGCTCTCTACTGGGTCACCTTGATGAAGGCGGGTCCGTTCGAGGACGTGAACTCCCGCATCTGGACCGCCCTGACGGCCATATTCTTGTCCCAGTTGTTGGTCAGCACGTCGGCGAGGACATTCAGCAAGAAGCTGGCGAGGGAGGCGGACACCTCCACAAACCGCACGGCCACCACCAGCGGCTTCCGCCGGTAGTACGCGTCCAGCTGGTCGAGGTCGTACTCGGTAGGCAGGGGGGGGCTTTCCCCCCCGAAGCGCTGGACGAAGACGGCCAGGACGGCGGCGGATCCCAGGACGGAGAGCGCCGCCACGACCGCGCCGACCTGGTCGCTGCTCAGCCCGAGCTTCTCCAGGGAAGACTCGATTACCTTGGTTGCAGGGCTCAGGTAGCTGTCGACGGCGTTGAACATGTCCTCCGTGGTCTCCCACGCGCTCGCAGGGAGAGGCGCGAGGTGGAGCGCGGACTGCAGGGAGCTCGTCATCTCGGCCGCCATCGCCGCTATCTGGTGGGTCGTGCGGGTGTCCGTCATCTCTCCTAGGAGTCGCATGTGGTCGTCGTTGAGCAAGCTCAGCAGCACCGGCGACTCCCCCGCCGAGAACCCTTGGTACCCGTCCACGAACGATCCCATACGCGCGCCAAGCGCGGATTCCAGGTCGAACCCCATGTCCGCGCCGGAGTCCAGCCCCATGCCTAGGCGCGTCACTGCCCCTCTTGTTTGCGCCCCTCTACGGACGGACGAGCGATGTGTATTGGTGAAGAACCCACCCAAAGCACCCCCCTCCAGCACCCCGCGACGCTTTCTCCCACGACGTCGTTTGGTGCCTGCTACACCCCTACACTCGTTGCCGTCGAGGTGGCACCGGGCTGTATCGAAGGCCCCATACGAGTTGCTAGTAGGTCGGGGGGCAGCTACCATCCCGCTGCACTCTTGGACGTTTTCGCTCAAGAGAACCATGGCGACCAAGATGCAGCCCGATGTGCCTCGAGGACATGTCGGTGGGCAACATGAAGCTGATGACCGAGGTAACCGTGTCATCGTCGGAAGAGCTGTCGTTGCAAGTGGGGTAGAAAGAAAAATTGAGAACCAGAGGCGTAGATAGGAGGATGAGATTTTCCGGGCAACGCGTACACTGGGGAGTACAACCAGGTCCCGGCATGCGCTGAACAGCTGTGCAACTCGTATTCAACATTAAGAGTGCGGGGTACATGAGACGTCATCCTCATTTTGGAGGACACGGTGACGTGGCTCAAGTAGTTTTCGCGGAAACATGGCTATTGTACCTTCTGCGGTTCAGAAGGCCGCTGGGCTTGACGGTCGTTCGTGTGTTCGCGTAGGCTGTGTAATAAGTAACAAACTACATGGAGGTACACTTACATGTGGTCACAGCCTACTGCTGTAATGTGAAAAAAAATGAAGTACCCGCATCGCCGGCGTGAACGCCCAGCCAACATGTGGTAGGTTGCAGAGCACCATCTGTGCTTCCTGTCTGATCGTATGCGTAGACCATGTACGTGCACGGGTAAGTCTGGAAATGCATGCGCGTGTAGTCGAAATGGTATGTGGTGTAGATACGGCCTTTCGTACAGAAGAACATAGATGTATCGTGAATTGTAGACGGCATGCTACAGGAAAGTGTCCGGTCTTCTCTAGCACGTACCTTAACTCGATATCGCGTTTGCCGGAGGCCCTCGTGTTGGTGTATTCCTTATCGCGTTCAAATTCAAAATCAACGCGCTGTACTGTAGCTCAAGATTGGCGAACACCCTTGCGTACCTTGCACACGCAACCGCTTTCAGCCGGCGAAACCAGGATGTCGTATACACACATCAACAGTCGCTTCGACCAGCGGGCTGCGTTGGGACGGCCCGAAGCAGGATTGATGAGAATCACTGCTGTGGTATGTACAGCAGTAGGCCATGTGTCGGAACACTGGAACATGAGGCTAATATTTTGCCGTTTCAGTTCGCCGAACATCCAACATGAACATCGTGAACTCCTGGAGGGGGCGCCGTGGATTCAGCCCCCGGCAACGACTAGACGACTAGCAGACTAGCAGCGACACACATAACAACGCGACACACAACAGCAGTCTTCTTGCTCGGCAGCGGTGGTGCATACGTTAGGTGAGGTGGAAGCGTGTCATTATCGGGGAGTTGGCTCCGACGTCTGCTAGTTGCAACGGTATCGACATGTCAACGACGTCAGTATGGACTGGAACCCCCCCACGCAAAGACATCTACCGCTGACTAGCGATTCCTCTCTGCACACACAGGAGAGAAGCGAGCAAGCACGTTTCCTGACCTGCTCTCCATAGTTCGGAGGGCTATATGTCCTATGAAAACACTAGACTGCACGGGAGGGCAGCGCTTAAGCTTCCTCGCTTCAAGTCTGCTCTGAAAGCGTAATCCAACGTTTGCGACCTTCTCAGGCTGCGGACACATATACACCCCGCTTGTTTCCGAGAACCTGCAGCAGTTACTACTTCATTATACCGTGTTTTCTAACTTACCACCGGCGTCCGCGTCTCTCAGCAGGCGGAACATGTTGACCTCGCTCGCACGCAGCGGGCCGGGCGTGGCGAGAGTCGCACAGCGCGCGGCGGCACCGCTCTCCGGGGCACGGGCACCAGCAGCAGCCGCGGCAAGACGGAGCATGGGGGGTCACGCCAGGCACATCGGGTTGCCAGGAGAGCATGTGCCGATCGAGGTCAGCAAGGTGCACAAGACGCTCGGGACGGCGTACCTGGCCACCATGTTCTTTTGGATGATGTACCGGGCGAAGCAGGACGGGTTGGTTCTTCTGGTGCGTTCCCGGCTGAGTAGGGCGAAGGCTTCGGCGGTGTTGACGGGGGGGTTCCAGCAGACAGCGGGTACCGTTTCCGACACAAGATGACACACCCCATGAACAGATTTTGAAAGCTCGATCTCTCAACAGCAGAAGGAGTCGCAGCGCCGAAAACGGCGGCGTTGAAGCCGTCTGGTCAAGAGCTCTCCGATAATGTATCGTTTCGTTCATGCATCCTCTTCGTTGTGGAGTGATCGAGCTTTGACGATCGGTCCAGGGGGTGTGCTATCTTATGTCATATACGGGAGTCGTTCCGCCAGGCAGGATTGTACAGCGACCTCTTTCGTGTTGAGCGGGAAAAGAATTTTCAGCAGCTGTGCACCGGAGAAGAGGCTGCTGTCGTGTGATCTCTGCTCTCGTATGAATACTGCTCAATAAGAGCCACCACTGTGAACTTCAGCAAGTACAGTAGTGGGTGTCCCCAACAATGGCGGTGTACTCGTTCTCATAGTCATGCATGCCGTAGTCGTTAGACCATTGACCTCGCATCCCCACAAAGCCGAGACGGGGCACGCCGGGTTCTCACCGGACCAGGTTCTCACATCACCAAGCGCGAAGCGCCGTGAGGTATTCGGCGAGTCGCATGAAGGGTGCGCTGCATCCTGCTAAGGGTGTTCGGCATCTTGTGCTAACTTCCTTGCGTACATATGACAGCTGCGTATGACTTAATTTTTTTTCCGGTGTTCACTTCCAGAGACAGTAGTGGGTGTCCCCAACCACGGCGGTGGTGGGGCAGCTGATAATGGCCGCCTAATATGGGGCAGCCGCCTTACTCAATGTGTATGCATAGAATAACGTGACTATCTCGTCTGTGCATCTTCCAGCCAATTTCACCGCCGAACGTAGGGCGGCCACCTTGCTCAGAGACCCCCACGGTAAGTAGTAGTTCATCCTAAATCGTTAGCACAGCAGTCGGCCGCTGTGACAGCAGCTCATCGGTGAGCGCAGCGGGCCGGCTCTCCGATCAACGCATGATTCCGTGCACCCGTCGGCATGCCCGCGCACAACCTCTTGGTCGGTTTTCTTTGGGAGCACGACGCAACAGGGTATCTACCCTGGTCACTTGGCGACTCAGCTGTGTACCTGCTATTGGGCAGCTTCAAACGAGCCCAGCTGGTTGGTCACCGTCCACTCTCACGCTGCCGTATCCCAAATTAGCCGGCCGGGAGCATACCCCGCCACGACTAACTTTATTATCTCCGCGGGCTCGAGTCTCGACGCGCGCGAGCAGAGTAACAGCCTTGTACCGTGAACACTGGCTGGCACACAAACGTTAGCCGTGGCGTACGGTGGTTGTGCCGGACCTGAACGCTATCTGATCACGCAAGGGGAGGATTTTTTTCTGTTTCCTTCGAATTTCGCTATCGGTTCGGGAGAGAACATGCGTCGAGACTCTCTCAGATAGGATTTGTAGAGAGAATTCATGTTGCCATTCGCTTTCAGCGCGTTGCGCATTTTTCGAAGTTTGCTCCCCCTCCAGGGACCTTGATTTTTTGCCGCTGGGGCTCATGGTCTTCTCATTGGTCAGCCGTTTTACACAGGCCGATGCTTTCAATATATCGCACACATGTACATGTGCGCACATCACATGTTGCTTCATCGTTTAATCGGCGTTCCTGGCGTCATGTAAGTTTCCGCAGCGAAGGCGAAGGGTGGACAAACCGGGGCAACGTATACTTATTCTTTCTCGGTGTGGCGAATTTGCTTGATATCGTCAAACACGCATGTGTTTGTGTGTGTGTCTTTTTTTCTAGAGTATATCTCGTCCATCCCGTAGTCAATTCGTGATTCCGGACGCGATGGTCGTTGGTTCCTCGATGTGATGTTTTAATAGTTTGGCTTCGTACAAAGAATCAATTCAACCTAAAAGTAACTTATCTTAAATAATTGATACCCGAAGGCAAGGGAATCGGACGTCTGGTCGTGCGGTTCTGTATGTGCAGTTTTTAGAAGGTCACTCCAGTTTATCAGCTCCTCGACGACAAACTACTAAACAGAAGTATATTTTCTGCTACCAAGTAATTCCACCAAAACGCAAAAATGTATAAATTCCTAAATTGTTTTGCTCTCGCCGTTCGTGAAACACAGGGACTTGAGCACCCGTGGGACCACATGGACGACCACCACGACCATGGTGCAGGCCACGAGGAGGATGAGGACGAGGACGAGGACGAGGACGAAGAGTAGACGATAAATGATAGTTGACATCTACGGAGATCAAATCATCTAGGAACGTGACATCTGCGGAGATCTATTGATCAAAGCGCAGACTGATAGTCGACATCTATGCGTACGGGAATTGAATGATCGAAGAGTAGAATGGACTGATTATTGACATCTACGGAGATCGAATGATCAAAGAGTAGACTGATACCAAGTAGTTGACATCTGCGGAGATCGAATGATCAAAGAGTGGCAGTTGACATGTACGGAGATCACACATGACCACACCTCTCACTCAGAATCGGCCGTGTTGTGTTTGACACAGATCAAAGCATCATATTAGTTCTACTTCACAATCGATCGTTTTGTTCATGACCATTGGTCACGATCTACTGCTGCCGCAGCTGCAGCAGAACCTTGTTTGCTTGGGGGGAGCGGGGAGGTCAGGGGGGATGGTTTACAGAGGTGATGCTGCGGCAGGGCAGAATCGGTCGGTGTGTCTGACCGAGGTAGACAAGTGTGACGTCAGATGAAGGTCTCGTCGACGTTTTTTTTTTTTTTTTGCGGAGTAGCGGACGGTAGTGCAGAGAGGCGGCAGAGATAACATAGTGTGGTCACCCGCATCCCCGTCGGCTAGCGTGGCTGCTTGTGCGGCGCAAACAAGGCCAGGCGTGGGTGAGGGTAGAAAGTACTGCTTGTTACCCCTTGCTATGATGATGCACGTGCTTCCAATTTCACCCGTCAGATGCTGCTACTCTTTGTGGTCGTCGAGCTGTTTTGCCATAAGTAGCTAAGCAGTAAATGCGAAGCGACTGAGCAGCAACAAAAACCGTGACCTTTGATCCTCCTGACCACGTTTTGAGTTTGCGCTTTCGCCACTCCTTTTTGCCATTCATGCGCTTCTTTGGTAAAGTGAACTTGCGTTTGCGTTTGCCAATTTCTATAGCTACAGAGTCCAAGGTATTGTCTCCATTTCGTGCAAAAAGGTGACAGCTGAGAGTTTGGGATGATCTCGAACGGATAGTGTCTCTTTGACTGTATGAATATTTTCTAAAGTAACACATGCGCCGACGCAGATGGAAGCACCGCGGTAGATGTGCGGACGAACACACACAGGTGTGTGTGCGGTCGATTGCTCCGCAAATAAACTGCCCAACACCGAAAAGGGTATGTCGATAATTTTGGCAACAATATGGTCGAGAGCTGTCATTCCTTGCACGTACCGGTCGGGTTCCTTAAACCCTCGTGTTGGTTTTGGAGCAATCCATCTCTACAACTGATCGCATGCCTGTTGCGTTCGCTTGCACCTTAACGTTAGAGCACGAAGCTATCCATGTATCGGCGGCCTGGCTATTTGCGCCAACCGAAACAGAAACATCGCTGACATGGAGAACGTTTTTAACGTTTCAGTGTGTACGACCTAACTTTAGTAAATTTCCACTCGCTCACGTGCTGTAGGGAAATTGAACCGGCTGAACACAGAACGCCCCCCCACGCAAGAACCCAGGAATTCAATAAAAAGTATGAAGAACCGAGCACCACTTGTGACCCGTACACCAAAACCTAAACAGCAACAATTCGTAGCATGACCCTAGGAACTCAGAAGTCCAGCCTCGGCCGAAACTAGATGTTGTTGAGTGCGGGCGCGTTCTGTAGAGTAACGCTTCCATGCAATCAATCGGAGGCGTTCCTCCCACCCCTTCGCGATCGGCCTAACTTTTTAGTTGATACCGGCAGCATCCAAGGACGTAAATAGACTAGAATGTACAAAAACGATTTTCTGCCTCGCCCCAAGTTCGTCAGTAAACCCAACGCTTACAGCTAGTTCCTCGGGGGACCGAATCGGGAATCAAAGTGGAAAATGACCAACACGGGCGTGTACCAGCAGCCAAACGTTGCTTCTGCTCCGTCCACACCATGATACCTAAAAAAGTGAGTCTCGTCCTCGGCTACCTTCAACAGCAACTCCAAGTCCAACCAGGAGACCCGAACCAGCCAAGACCTGTGCACAATTTTTCCAAGAAGACCCTGAACGAAGAACGCAATGCGTCTTTCGGTCAGTCGTCCTTCGTTGGTAAAAAAGGACAACAATGAACGGCTTGCAACATTACAATCCTGCAGCGACCGGCCGTATGGACTGCACGGCAGTGCCTGTTGCACCTCCGAGCCCTTAATGCGTCGCCCCCACTACAGGGAGGGATAGAATACCCGACGCCCGCACCCGGTACGTATTCCAACGGCTTCCTCAACAGGTACGCCGACCAAGAGGTATGCATACGCACGTATGTTGTCGAACGGCTTCGTCAATAGGTGCGTATGCTGTCCAACGGCTTGCTCAACAGGTAAGGTATACAACGGCTTCCTCAGTAGGTGTGTATGCTGTCCAACGGCTTCCTCATGAAATGCGTATGCTGTCCAACGGCTTCCTCAACAGGTACGCATATGTTGTCCAACGGCTTCCTCAACAGGTATACTGACTGCCCAACGACTTCAACAGAACAAGTACACTGCTGTCCAACAGCTTCCTCAACAGCTACGTTGTCCAACGGCTTCCTCAACAGGCATGCCGTCCAACGCCTTACTCGGCAGGACATTGCGAGTTTCAAGATCCGTGGATACGTAAGATTCCAACCCCGTCACAGGGCACGACGCCGCCCTTGCCCACTCTCATCGCAATCGTCGGACACGCCGATTTCTTCGCTCAGGTGGGACTTTATCGACGAGGTCCAGCACGTCGACGAAAAATGAAAAACCACACCACGAGCCGGGGGGGGGGGGCGAAGGGACCAAAACTACAGTGCATGGATGGTCGTAGTCCCGAACATACGGCAAGAGGCGGAGATATGGCACCCCCGTGTTGGCGTCTTCGTTAAGCATATTTCTCCACAACTAGGAAGGTGCGAACACCAACCGATACCTACTGGGAGGGCCCTAGACGAGATGTTTCCAAAACTACCCTTCTCGGCAGTGGTACCCCGCCGGTTGTGGTAAAATATGCTACAAAAAACGCTAAATACCACGGGGGTGCCATCTCTCCGACAATTACGGTAGACCATTTTAGTTTTCTCGATGACTGCCGGGGCTGGTGATGTCAACCGTCGCATGCGGCAAACCGTTGTGCCATCAGTCAAACGTAGCCACGTCTGCTTTGGCCACCTGGTGAGGAAGTTCATGACCCGCAGCAGGGGTTCCGTGGGAAGAAGCGCGCGCGGGGGGGGAGTACGGGTTGTGATCGGCCGTTCTTTCTGCAGGGAAAGGGCTGTCATGAGAGCCGCAATAGAAATATTTGCGTGTCAGTTGACACCGACCAGGGAAAAAGCAGGGGACCAAACCTAAAAATGGAGACGAGGTTTTCCACAACTCCAGAGGAGGACACACCGACTCGTAAACAACGCCTTTCAGCCTGACGAACACACACACACGTCACACGCACACTTAGACTAGAAAGAATGTTCGCCGAGGGACCTTGGTTGTACCCGCTGGCACTGAGGTGTTTCCATTGGCCGGAAGGTTAGCGTTAGCGCGGTCGATGCTAACAACCACATAAACACACACACGTAAACAACAATCCCCCCTCCCCTCCCCCCC